CAGCCAGGCCGGGGCGCGGTGCCCGGCTGTGCCCGGCGACACATCCGACCAATCAACGGGCAGCGCGAGGTCAGCACGCCCGTCGCCGCACACATTGCGACAACGCGTTGCGTGAGCCGAACGAACCGCGGTGGTTCCGACAGCGATAAATATAACAAACGATATTAGTAATAATAACACGAAAAATAAAAAGCCGACAGCACAAAGTTCCGGTGAGTGTGCTGGCGGGTGCGTCTGTCCGGAGCAGCGGGCGGCCGGCAGACCGGATGAGGAAGGTCAGAGCAGCGCCAAATAATGTATTCAGTTCTAACCTTTCTCTACCTTTTAAACAGAAAGACGTTCCCGCCAGGACGTACAGCGGAGAAACGAACGGAAAATATATATGAAAGGTTACCCGTTACCGCGACCGACCCGATCAAACAAAATGAGGAGTCGCTCGCAGGACGCACCCAGGCCGGGTGTCACCCCGGCACGTTGAAGCGGCCATAACCGTAAAAGTGCCCCTCCCTGTGCAACTCGTCAAAACCACGCAATAGTAATCGTAATCGCGATCGTAATATACCACAACTTCCATAGATGTTTGTGGCGTATAAAATGATGACGCCTTGTCACAGTAAACATAAACATTTACGGATCGTAAGTAGTGGAGCATGTGGCGGACGGAGCCGCTTCTCAACCTTGGCGGGCAGGCGGCGGCGTTCCGTCCGTCAGTTTATGTACTCTAGTTTGAGCCGCCGGCTCTTTTACGAGAGTCCCGCCATCCGCAGAGCACCTGGACTGGACATCGCTCTGCATCACGGTATCGCTGAAGAGTACTCTTTGACGCGCTGATGATCCCCACCCCCTTCCTTTTCCTTCCATTATCTCCTGCAAGCCAGGCCAACAGCATTTTTATCGGCGACGACGTCTCGATATTCACGATGCTGCCGCTCCGACGAAAAACGAGTGCAATCATGGCTTAATCCGGCTGGTGGTGTTGCCGTGATGATGGGACCAGGTATCTCCTCCAGCAGCAGCAGGTTTTTTTTCGGCTGGAAAGAACACAACACACGCACTCACACAAGCACACGCGCACTCACCCCGACATCTTGCACACTCGGAGCTTTTGGCATGCGGAGGGAAGCGGAGCAGGGCGTCGCGTCGCGCCGTTGCATCCATCCCGACCTCATCTCGTTTTCGTTCGGCCGGCCGGCAAATCCAGTCAGTCGTCCTGTCATGCGGGGAGCGTTGTTGGTCGGGGAGGTCCGGACGACCGGGCTGGGAGTGGTGGGGCGGGGCAGGGTGCGG